GCAGCCTGGCGGAGTGGCACACTCGGCAGATGAAGAGGCGAGTAACCAACTGGTCAAAGGCACCCCAGGCGTGCAGGAGTTGAGGATTGCTGTGGAAGGGGGCTGGCCAGGAGGCACCTGCTTTGATGCACATGTGATGCAACAATGCAAATCCACGCAACGAAGCTGTCTGTCTTTTCGGAGCAGAAACCAGGGCTCCAGCATGCTCATACTTGATCAAGTAGTCAGGCCTCCAATCAGACACAATTGAAGAACCAGCCAGAGCACACATGGTAAACGGAATCACAACGTGCACTTAAATTCTGCAATACCTCGCATGCCTTGACTTGCTCAAGCTGCTTTTTTGGAGCACCCCGCACCCGAATCAACTAGGCACCGGACTTTCTCCTCCAGTTGGCCCTGCTGTGTGTCGGCACAGCCTCAATTGTGCTTGAACTTCTCAGGAGAACTGAAAAGAAACCAGGGCCGCTGCTAGGCTGCAGCCTTGCAGGCTCACCTGGAAGAACGTTGTCAGTCTGACTCATGCACTCAAATACAGGAGAGAGACGACATGAAGCTGAGCCCCGGGCTGCACAACCAGCTAAGACCGAAAACAAGATCCAACCCCCCGGGCCTGTGCCTTCAAAGAGGTGCACATCAGGTTTGCGAGTGTAAACGAACAATACCGGCATTGCGCCTCTTTGGCGCTCTGATTCGGACGCCTTCGGCGTGTCAGAACCTTCGCATAGCTGCAGCAAAGAGCACAACAGATTACTTATCATCAATCAAAAGCTTACTGTCTGTGCTTTTTGTGCTGATTGGCTACGACCGACCCAACCAACATGGAGCAGCCAAACATGCTGCCAGGGGCTCGCAAAGGCTACAGTGGAGGATACCTTTGGGATCTTGCCAGATTGTGTGTGGGTCTAGCAGATTCCGCTCTTCAAGGTCCTCACAGCTACTGCAGAAGGTCCCCTCCGAGGCTCTTGGGCAAGTTTTCGGATCTAAATTCCGGCATGGCAGAAGTTTACCTGTCGAAGCTTGCTGATTGCTCAAAGTCATTGTTGCAGGCTGCATTGGCATGACGGACCTCCCTCGAACGGAACAATGTAGCGACTGCCATTCACGTCGAGAGCAGCCACAGGGCCACAGAAGTCATGTCGTTCATAGATGCACTGCACCCTTTAGCTTTCTGAGGCAGAAGGTCTTGGCGACTGGTGGTACACAAACCTTCGCTGCACACTTAAGACCCCCGCCTAGTCTCGCCAGCTGCAGTCCAAATAAAGCCAACCTGACATGTCAACCACACAGAGGGAGACCGGACCTTCGACAAACGGCCGGCAAGGCAGGAGATGCAGTGGTGCACCTCAAGAGGCTCGGCAGCTTGGCTCAGCTCAACTCTGCAAGAACCAAGTTCACCACCAGCCCGGCTGGACGCGCTGGATGCACTATGGCCTCGAAAATGGCCATGAACTCTGACACAATGCGATACCACGCCAGCAAGACCCGGGCCAGTGCACACGGCCGACGGACTCTTCTGATCCACATAGCCGCTTACCGTGCTCACTTCACCTGCAGATACTGAGCACACTGCACATCTATGCCAAAGACCATGAATGGCGAAGCACACAGCCAGAGCCACAATGCAACGATTGCCGGAACATACACACATGAGCGGGGCTGCACATGCCACACCTCCACCGAGGTCGGATGTCAGTTCGAAGACGCACGTCGCGCTGTTGTCACAGCACCTTAAGCCACCAGTGAAACTTCGGTACAGCATCGCAGTTAAGGAGCGAACAATAATCTAGCTGGCTTTATGTTTGTTCCGGCACGTCGTGTACTCATTCGAGTCCCGTTGCAGTCGTTTGCTGCAAGATGAGGGTTGGGCCATTGTTGTGCCAGTGGCTTAGGTCGTCCCTAGTGTCTCGAAATGCTGTTCAACGGTGCTCAGCAAATCAGCTTCAAATCATCATGTCGTCACCCTGCACTTGGCTTGCCTGCGTGTGTACTTGTCTGGGGCGACTGAGCCTTCCAACCCCTTGCCCTCGAAGGGAACAATCACGTGGAGTCACCTTGTAACGGGCCTAAGCTAAAGCCGGCAACCTTCGGTGGGGATGTCGAATGAACCTGTTTTCGGAAAGCAACTGACACTCGTAGACAAATGAGTTCCCGACTCAACCTGGCATGCTTCCAGATACTTCTCACAAGGCGTCTTGCCTCGCAGCCAGCTGTTCTCAGAAAACTCATGCTTACCCCTGCTTCGCGATCCTGCCTACGAACTTATGGCTCGATAATAATGAGCTTGCTGAGGGTACAGCATGGTCTGAGGTTGCAGCATCATTGCAGAGTCAATGCAGAGAGGAGTGACGCAGGACGCATGTGACACAGAACCACTGCTGCTATGCCCAAGCCAAGTTGCAGGGCTTCAAGTATGGTATCTGAGATCCACTTTTGCAGCCGGCCTGGTCAGGGCAAGCAGTCTGCGAATGGGGTCGGAACTGCAGACGCTTGTCGCTTGAGTGCACACGCACAAGTGGGCCTGGTTTTTGGGAAAATACGTGTAGCAAACCATCTCGTAGATCTTGGACACCTGCGATTCCAGGCCAGGTTACATCGTGGCCTGAAAACCAAGACCACCAAGGCCCAAACACATGGATCAAGGTCTCGGTCTTCCTGGTGCTTGAAGTCCCAAGCCTGTAAAGGGGTGCTCTTTCGATCTCTTCAGAGCCCTCGTGGAAACTGCTCGAGCTGCCTCATAACCAAGGGCACCGAGATGATAAACAAACATAGTTGATGCCTGCAACACATGTCTCCGAACCGTCTTGGCATCTGCAATGGGCAAACCGCATCTTTTGCACAATTTACATCTGAGGCTGCAGCAGCCGAATCTTGTGCTTGCACAATTGCATCCAGTGCCTCAGCGCAAACTAACCGGCCGAATTCCCTAGCGCCGCGTAGGAATGAATTGTGGAGAATCTGTCTGTCTGTCTGTCTGTCAGTCAGTCTGTCTGTCAGTCTGTCAGTCTGTCTGTCTGTCTGTCGGCTGGTCTGTCGGTCCGTCCGTCTGCCTGTCTCTGCCTGTCTCTGCCTGTCAGTCCGCGAAGGCGGCTCTGTCGAAACCGGAAGAAGCCATGTCTCCGAGGCGAGGCGAAAGGGCGAGAGGGGATTGGACGAATCAAGCGGTCGAGCCGGAATGCTACCGGCCGACCGCTTACGCTTGTTCCTACGTGCCTGAATGCAGTACACAACAAGCCAATCAGGGTCCACACGGCCCCATCCATTCGGAATTCCACAGCGAGCTCGTCTCTCCACAAACATTTCTTTGTTGCGCACGGCTGATAATCTTCCCTCTGGGGCACCATCACTGGCGGTAGATTTATTGACGCCCATACACGACGAACACATCGCTGCCGTGCGGCCTGGAGACTCCGGAAGACCTGCTTTCTTGGCTCCCGGCCGTGCTCGTGTTCTCAGGCGACGGGACGGCTGGATCGTAGTCCACAGCTGCCTTCCAAAGGGCCCCGCTGGAAGCTTCAAAACAAATGTCGTAGTTGATCTGCGCACATCTCAGGCAAAGGCCCGACAAAAGTGCAAGTATTCCTGGACCACACCAGGCTCGGAACACTGCCACACCTTAGTGTCAGCAACATCGGCAAAGTATTGCAGAAGGCAGATGCAAGACCGAGAAAAAAAGCCAGGCGCTGAGTTGCCCGCTAGGCCTCCCAGCCGCGGCAAATCATTCAAGCCGGGAGTCAATGGATTCACGCACCTGCCAAAGGAACAGAATCAGAAGACATCAGAAGACATGCTTGCAATCCAGTTCTTCGTTCAGTTTCTGCCCCCACGTGCATGGCTGAGCAAAGGTTCAACACGCAAATGTCGAGGACTGGTGCCGCAGGTGCACTGTGCGCCTAATGCCTGGGCCTAGCAATCGATCTGAGCACGAAGCACAGGTTCAGGTACAAATGGCTGAGAGATGCCGAAGCTCTGGCCCATTGAGCCGGATTGGATGACTTCCGGCCCTGTCCATGGTTTGAGGCCTGTTCTTGATGCAGATCGGGTTGTTTGTGTAGATCACCTCACCTCGTCTTCGTCAGGCACGAAACGGAGGCAACTAGGCAACATCAAAAATCGACGACAAAGCTGCATCTAAACTTATTCGATCAGCTCAGGAGCCATCCCCTCCGGACATGGTTACCTGCGGAGCAGATGCCGCCGCGACTAGCACACTCTCTCAAGAAACCATCTGCATGCCAGCAGCCTGCGTGCTGCTTGCCACGATTGCCAGCAGCAACAGCAGCTCCACTCGCACCAAAGTCATGACGCCTCAAGCCACAAGAAAGCACACATCTGTTCACCTCGATGCCTCGCTGTCCTGTGTTGGCGTAAGCTCTGCAGTGCTCTGCTCTGCCCGCTACCCGACCCACCATACGTTACTTGGCCATGTCCCAGAAACGATGCAGGAAAGCTGCGGGGATGCTAGAGCTTGAGAGCTTTGCCACCTTCCAGGCTGTCAACATGTAGCCGTCTAAACAGGAGATCTGAGCCAGGATACGCCAACCAGAAAGTGTGCAGGCACGCCCCTCACTCGTGGAAGCCCTGTTCCACCCTAAGCCCAATGAATGAATCGAGAGCATGATTCTGGAATGCAGCCGCCAAGCGACGTTTCGATTTTTCGGAAAGTCAAAGTTCGTTCACCTCACGGTCGAAGCAAGCGGGGGTGTCACAGCAACACACTTCATGCTCTATCAAGTCTATCAGTATCAGCTTCGATAAGCGTTCAACTTCACCAAGCGGCTATCTGAAGTGGCGAGAGGCTGGCTGCCTCCATTTATGGAGAAAGGTCTACCCCCATAACGAGCCACCACGGGCTGCCGGACCCGCGCATTGTCCACATCCAGGATTTTAGAGCAGCGGAACAGACATCGTCCGATAGCTTTGGTGTAGATTCGTGCTGAAGCGTTGGACATCTACTTCTGCAATGATCTGGCAGCACCCGGGCACATGGATCCCACGTCCTTTCCACCCTTGCCCTTGGCTTCGGTGGCTCCCTGCGGGTGATTAGAGTGCTGACATGCGGTCTGATCCGGAAGACAAACCAAAACTTACCTACCACAGGGTACCATCTTACAAAAAGGTCGAATGTGGCAGCTGTTGTAGATCCTGCGCGAAAGCCGCCCTGGGTGGGCGAATCCAAGCTTTCCAAGGGTGTACTTACAACTTTCGCCTTCTTTCCCTTGCCAGTCTCTAGGGCCTGCAGACGACAGCCATGAAGCAAGACATCGTCACAGTGATATGAAACCGCGCCTTTCCACCTTTGCCCTTATCCGTGTCTTTGCCACCTGCGAGGCAGACAAACAAAGCTTCCGTCCTGGACACCTGAGGCCGCCCGGTGGCCTTTACCTTTGGAGCCTTTCTCCTCGTAGCCCTTTCCGGCTTTGCCTTTGCCTGAGCTTCAACCCAACTTGCAATCCCACGTACACTTCACGCTGACGCTGCATGTTGCCTTTGTCTTGGCTTTTGCCATAACCTGCAAAAGCGAGCCAATGCACGGATCTGCTTACGTTCCACTCTTGCAACAGCGCCGAGAAAGACTGCATGCACAAAGCTGTTCGGCTGTCTACCAGTCCTGGCCTTTGTCGTAGCCATAGCCTTTCTCGTAGCCCTTATCCTCGGCCCGTGTCCACAACAAGATGATGCACACAACATTCCCGCACTGTCTCAGAGGCCTCCGGCAACTACAGCCCTCACAAGTCTGAGACGGCAGCGTAGCTCTTCTCGTAGCCCTTTTGGTAGCCGTCCCATCCCTTTCCTGCACAAGCTCGTCTCTACACTATCACTAAAACATCATCCGCGCACTACGAAGGGTCACAGCCAGCCTGTGCCGGCACCTTTGTCACCTTTGCCCCAGCTCTGCTGCACACCGCCACCGTACCTGCGATCAAAGTGAGCGCAGTCACGGTGTGACAGCGAAGGAGCTGTGACTTCATGACTGCGCACCAGGTGCTATCAGCAGCTGGTCGCGCTTTTCCTCCTTTGGCAGGTGCACCCCAACCTCGCAGCGAGTCTGACCACCATGAAGAACGCTGTGATTCCGAGCCATCATCCTTCCCAAGAGCCGCCTCCGCTGCTTTCGCCGTATCCGTACGAACCTTTGCTGGCTGCCTTGCCAGGGGCACTGGTTGTGCAGAACTCCTTTAGTGTCTCGGAAGCCTTGCCCAGCGCTTCCAAGGGTCCAGGGCCACCGGCTGGCTTCTTCATGGACCTGGGAGCTGGAAACCCCGAGGCCATGGACTTGGAGTCACACCCACGCAAATGCTACATGCCTAAGCTGTCAGCATGATGGCTGGATCGTTCAAATGGGGCGATGCTCCGCCTGCGCCACCTGACAACCATGGCCGAAACTGGATCTACAAAATCGCTCGTCTACTTCACCAAGTACTGGCACTTTTCATGGCGCTCATGTCCGCGCAAGCCCGCGAAGCTCCTTTTTCATTCCGAGGCTGAGGCTGCCTTCCAACACGGTCAAGTCCTTGATGTCCTCGTGCAGATTTCAAAGGTAGCCAGAACTCACGAACATCTGGATGCGAGCACTGTTGCTGTCAGCCGGTCAGTCCGTCAGTCAGCCAGTCAGCCAGCCAGCCAGCCAGTCAGTCAGTCCGTCACTCACAGTCACAGTGTGTGTGTGTGTGTGTCTCTGTGTGTGTGTGTGTGTTTGTGTGTTTGTGTGTCTGTGCGTGTGCGTGTGTGTGTGGGTGGGGGTGTGGGTATGGGTGTGGGTGTGGGTGTGGGTGTGGGTGTGGGTGTTGGTGTGGGTGTGGGTGTGGGTGTGGGTGTGGGTGTGGGTGTGTGTGTGTGTGTGTTTGTTTGTGTGGGTG